TTAATCATATTGATGAGCCGAGAGTTCTGTACCAGACCTCTCTGCAAACATCTTCCGCTCAACATCGGAAGGTCACTGTTGAGAACCACGGTAAAAAACCTATATGGAATCTTCTTACACAAAACTGTAACCAGTCAAGTGGGGCAATAGATGAGATAAAGGAGATCGAGACCTTTGGACTACCCTTCGTTACTAACATATCAATGGCTCAGGACTTATGTCAGCACCCAGAATACAACGCATCATATGGCCTCGCAATCAGTCCTGTTTCATTTCGCCCAATCAAAGGCGTGATCCCGGTATTCTCAACTGGTACATTGTCCACAATGGGAGATCTCTTGTTTCCCAGTCCCGCCTACACTGAGTCTGAATTCTTATATGACAAGTCGAAAGACATAGAATGGGAGCAAAAGCGGGATGGTCTTTACTGGGCTGGGTCTACAACTGGAGGATTTGCGCATGGTTCTGATTGGCAGCTCTTCCATCGACAACGATTCGTCGAAGTTGGACAGAATCTAAGGAAAAGAAACTACTACCTGCGGAAGCGGGATGGGCTTGTTGGACTAGTGAGGTCGTCTTTCCTGAACGGCAGGCTTTTCGATATCGCTTTCACACGTGTGTTTCAATGCGAAAGAAAGGCTTGCCGAGCTCAAGATGCTTACTTCACTACCAAGTCGTGGGCCGACAAAGATGAAGCACTTAAGTCAAAACTCGCCTTTGATATTGATGGCAATGGTATCAGTGGACGATATTACAAGCTACTCGCCTCTTGGTCAGTACCCATGAAGCAGACTCTTCTCCGAGAGTGGCATGATGATCGGCTTATCCCATGGCTGCACTACATACCTATAAGTCAGGCTATGGATGAGCTCCCGGAGTTAGTATCTTATCTCACTGTCACACGATCGGGTCAGCAAATAGCCAAAGAAATAGCAGAGAATGGCCGGGATTGGCATGGTAGGGCATTGCGTGAGGTTGATCTCAGTATCTATACTTATAGATTATTACTGGAGATGATAAGGCTTCAGGATCCTCTACGAGATGCAAATATGATCCCGGCTTGATGTCTGGCCTAGGGAGCTATAGTGCTTGTTGCACATAATGAGCCCGCAGAGGTCGCCTAGCCTAGCGTTGCTACGTCCGGATTGGTAATAATGATATTAGAAGGAAACTTGCAGCCAAACGCCCGCGTCAGCTCTTTATAGTATCATACATAGTAATTAGTACCCTGGAGTTCATTATTATTAACTTCTTCCAGCCTCCTATGCTGGGCGCTATGCTGAAGAGGTCTTTCAGAAATAGTCGTCGCTAGAAGGCACCACGTCAAAGCTACAACATTAACACCTTGAGCCACAAGCGCCGAAAGGTTGTCCCGAATACCTCATTGGGAAGCGGAAAACTGACTCTTCAAGTGCATATTTTTATATTCCTCGCGACGGGTTGAATGCGTTGTCAGCGGGCGAGCCAGTCCGACCCCGAAAACCCGCATTCGGGTCCGGAAGTGGAGCATCCCTTCCGTGTCCTCCGCACAGCCCGGGAAGTATCTGTAATAATGCGTTTGGTATCTGGACAGAATCATATTTACCCGAAAGTGCTTTGCAGATGTTTGCATATTCCCGGCCAGGATAATGTTATTTTCGTGCTTTTTCAGTATCCGCTTGATGTCGGAGGTGATATCAGATTGAGGTGTCAGTTTGTGATGCTGTTTTGTGTTACAAGCTGATGTGGGGGAACGTTGAAGAAGCAATTTCTGTGTTTGCAGGAGATGCGGCTGTAAAAATCGTTCTTGCCATTAGGCAAAAGCACCAAACAAACCCTCAAAACCACAAGATAACCACAATCCATATAACAGGACTTACTACCAAGAGGAAGCCCCGCCTTCCGTCTTCAGCACATGGATATGGACTTTCGGGGATATGAGAACTATAATAGAAGTTAGAGTTGATAAAAAACCTTTGATAAAGTATTAGCTAACTCTCTGGTACGCAGACTCCAGCACGCTCAGCAGAGCTAAATGCAAAAGGCTCTGGCGGTGCATTCGCCTGTACCTCAACATCAAAGAACAGGGGTATTTTGTGCCAGTGGCAATACCGGCTCTCTTGGTCAGCAACCCATTGAAGTCGAGTATGCCAAGGTCCTCTTCAAGACGGATCCGGGGAATTCCAAGGCGCGTACACTTCATGAACATGTGAAATATAGTCTACCGTCCGCCACCACACGGACACTCAGGGGTAAGAGCTCTCCGGGAGGCCTTTTCAGTTGAGGCCTTTTACAAAGATCGAAGGGGAATGTACTGACCTGAATAGAAAACATGCGATCTTTGAGTCCCATACTTTCGCTATATACAAGCAGTTTTGGGTGGAATAACAGAGTTGTCTTTCATTGATAACTATTAAGTCGGCAAATCAAATGAATTGTGTCTTCATACATTCCCGTTACTCCGGACTAGCACTGGTGATAATTTGAATGTACTTGCATAGACCAAGGTCGAGGAAATGAATCGAGATCTTGATCCGGTAATACGTCGATGCCAGCAGATAAGCTTACGTTGTTATAGCTCTTACATCGCCACCAATCAAAGAATGCCAACATCACAAAGGGCGGGGTATACATCACATCATCCTATAACTCTCAGCGCTATAGAAACATTTCCCGCAGGTCTATTTCCCCCGCGCTTACATTTTCATTGTTACGAAATGAGGCTTATTAAAGCGCAAACGTTTATCCAAACGCGACGCATTTCATTCGCGGAGTTTTACGGCGATATACCACAATACGCCATTCTTTCACACACTTGGGATGGTCACCAAGAGGTGATCTTTCAGGAGTGCAACCTTGAATCATCCAAGTCCAAAACAGGGTATGGAAAGATCCGCAAGACCTGCGAACTAGCACTCAGCGATGGGATTGACTATGTGTGGGTTGACACCTGTTGCATCGACAAATCAAGCAGTGCCGAATTAACTGAAGCCATCAACTCTATGTTTCTATGGTATCAGAAGGCAAGCGTTTGCTATGTGTATCTTGTGGACAAGTTCGAGGGATCGCCGCTGGGAGATTGCCGATGGTTCACTCGCGGCTGGACGTTACAGGAGCTTATAGCGCCAAGGGTGATGTCCTTCTTCAACTATTCATGGGATTGCATTGGCAGCAAAAACAGCCTTATGGCCCAGCTTACAACTATCACACCCATTGACCCTAATATCCTCAGTCACGACGCTCCAATTTCATCGGCGTGCATCGCAAAACGACTCTCGTGGGCTGCGGGTCGAAATACAACGAGAGTGGAAGACATAGCATACTGCCTGCTTGGAATCTGTGATGTCCACATGCCGATGCTCTATGGTGAAGGGAAAACCGCATTTCGACGTCTTCAGGAGGAGATCATCAGGACAACATATGACTTAAGCCTCCTAGCTTGGACACCGCCAGTCTCATCGGACAACTCGGAGAAAGAGTACTGCGGCTTCCTGGCTGAGTCGGTAAACTATTTCGCACCCTGCTCAGAAATGTACTCTGTCACTGATTCCCTCCTGGGCGAGGGTGATATCAGCGTTTCAAATAAAGGTCTGAGACTCATGACACGAGTGCATGTTCTAGACTATGCGCATCTGGGTTACAGATACGTCCTTAGGCTGGATTGTACGTCCCCTGGCGTCGATGGAGACTTTTTAACTATACCTATGCGGAAAGTTGGACCCAATACCTTTGTAAGAGCTCGCAGTCTTGAGGAGGGAAATTTGGATTCTTTTTGCCTCGAGTCTACTTCTTTGGAAGAGAATGCGTTTTATACAGTTACCCTTCTTACCACAATGCCTAACCCATCCATCGGATCACCGTTATATGCACCCAGAAGCTCGGCGATCATCTCGCATAGTCGCTTTACTTTAGTCTCGATAGAGCTACCGGTGGATATCTCCATACTCTACACAACAGAGACACCTGCTAAGTTCTGGGATATGCAAGATCATGTCTTTTTCGGTCCCCAAGGCTCATACAAAAACTGGGGTGCAATAATTCTCGAAACAGATACTCTGTTTATATGCTTTTGGCAGAAGGAGGATAATGACTGGACTTTCAACGCAAGTCTCCTCGACTTTCGAGAAAAGGAAGTCCAGAACCTATGGAAAGACCTTTTTATCTCGGCTGATCAATTATGTTATCAACAACCGATCGTTCAGTACATGCTGCAAAATGTTGAGAATGAAATGAAGTCTTCTATTGAAACTCGTCTCAAGGAAGACAAGATCACTTTATCATTCAAGGCCTGGCGCGCAGACAATCAGAATTTATGCAGTGGTCCGCGATGGAGGGTTGTGTTTAACAGGACAAGCTTTACCAGAGAGAGCTCTCCCCGTCCTAATGTTGGCTTATAGTATACTAAAGTCTTCTTCTTCTAAGAATACAATATGGTCTGCCAGGGAAGTCTAGAATTACTCCTATCTAATATATTCTCAATAAACTTGGTTGCTTACTCTTAATTATAGGTGCTACCTTTTACAATCTTAACTTAAAGGAATATAGCTAAGTGTTACCTATTTTCGCCAAATTTTTATAAAAGCCATTGATTAAGATATTTTAGTTACTACTAAGAAGCGTTAAGAAGCGTTAAGGAGCTTCACGGTTAGTAGGTAACCAAACTGGTCTATAACACACACTAGTCTAACTAGTAGAGTTATATTAATAACTAAAAATATATAGAAAGTAGTTATGGTTTCACAGTTAGATTGCAATTATTATAAAGAATTTTTGGTTTGCATTGGTACTGATTAGTACGTCTTTTATTAAATACCAATAGGAGTAGTCCGGGCTTTCATAGCGGAAAATTAAATATACTTCTGGTAATTCCTAAGCGCCTTAGTACGATCTAGGGGGTTCGTGTCTTACTCACCTGTGAGAAGTACTGATAATATGGCCGAGGTTACTGCTAATAGGGGTAGTTAGGAAGCTGGAGTTGGTAATGCCCACTGTCTACTGCACGCGTAATGTGGGGTATAGTTGGTACTGTGGTCTAGTTGGTCATGACATCTTGCTATGAGAAGGTCCCTGGTTCGAGCCCGGGCGGAACCCTTTTTCTTTATGAGAATCATAAGAATGTATCGAGTTGGTTGAGAAGCTAAAAGCTCCCGCGGTTATTTTTATCCACAAACTCCGCTGGATAGGTTATATTTACAAGGCCAGCTGGCATCCTAGCAAGTGTTCTGTTAATGGCCTTGCCACACGCCAGTAATAGTCCCTGATGCCTTGGAAATTCGCCGTGAAGTTATCTTTGATCATCCCATTCAGATTATGTAATATGGCTTGCATCTGTTCCACAATGTCGACGATGCCAATTTCGTCTATCACCATTTTAATGACTGACATGATGACCGCAACACTAGCAGTGGACTTACCCTAGCTATCCATCATACCAAGCCACTGGATTTAACCTCATCAATCTCGAGCCCAGCCGCTCAAGCAGTTACGTTGATTCTCTCGTTCATAATTCCAAACTGCCTATATACAATACACACCACAATTTCTTAAACAAGCTTTATTCCGGCGCTGACCCCAAAGGTGAAGCCTGTGACTCTATTGGTGAGAGTCTGGACCTCGCCTTACGACTTTGCAGTTGAGTTTGAGGCTACCCAAAGCTTCATAACAGCTCCAGTGAAGGCAGCGAATAAAGTTTGACGAGCGTGCACGTGGGTTCGATTAGAAGCGCTGATTATTCCCGTGATGACCATGTCATTCGCCCAGATATCAACTGATCCCTGGAACGATTCGCTAAGCTCACTATAAAGCTCTGCCAATTTAGTCGCCCGCAAAGACAATGCATTGTCCTCCAGGTATTTAATTGAATACATCCGATCATCGCAGACCATTTCATGCCATATTGCAGGAACATAGATGAGGTAGTGGTGGCTCTTGGGAGGATGTTATGTTCGACCTACGCAGCGCCACAGTTGAACATTGATTCATGGAACATCAGCCACACTAGGGAGACATGTTTTACTCACAAAGTGTTGGGTCACAATGGGTAGCCTCCACCGTATTAAAAAAACTGGCGATATATTATAACATACCAAGAACTCTTACAAATCAGTTGGTACTGTGGTCTAGTTGGTTATGACATCTCGTTAACACCGAGAAGGTCCCCGGTTCGAGCCCGGGCAGAACCTCATTTTT